GAATATAACATGACTTGAGGCTGGTGAGGGGGAAGTGGTTGGGCAGACCTCATCTGCTCAATCACAGAATCATTCAGGTTGGAAAAGACCTTTAAGATCATTGAGTCCAACCGTTCAGCCAGCGCTGCCAGCCCCACCACGGACCCCTGAGCACCACGTCCACCCGGTTTGGAAATCCCTCCACGGATGGGGACTCCACCGCTTCCCCGGGCAGCCTCTTCCAGGGCTTGACAACCCTTTCAGTGAAGAAATTTTTCCAAACGTCCAACCTAAACCTCCCCTGGAGCAACGTGGGGCCATTTCCTCTTGTCCTGTCCTGTCCAGAAGTTGCGTAGCCATACCCTGCAGCAACCTGGGTTTTTCCCCACTAGCTGTAGAGGGAGCCACTCCAGTTAGCCTAGACTTAGAACAGCAAATCTGTAGATGGCTAACATGATTTGAGATGAGTCCATTGCCCGTTAGGTTGGTGTTGGAACTATATTGTACCCAGGCCAGCTGGCACATCCCATTTATTTGAGGAATTTATGCCAGCTGGCCTGCGGTGTTGTGATACAAAAGCCTGTCACAACTATAGGAGATTTAATTTTATTTTTTTAAAAAAGGTCTCTTTTCTCCTCCTCTCCACGTGCATTTTCTCTCTGCCAGTGTAACACAGAGTTAGCAGCTTTTCCACATTTTCTTTTCTGAACATTCAGCGCCACGCTGTTATCTCAACAAGCAGTTACACGGTGTCAGAGTCCTGAAAGGGGAACCAGCTGAACTGTCTTTCACAGTCAGTAAACACGGAGTCACAGGAACCTGGTTTAAAGATGGATTAAAGGTAAGTGCGCTCTACCTACTGCCTTCCTTGGTGAGCAATGCTCTGCTCTACCTCTTATGAAGTGTTGGGTCAAAGTGTCCTTACCTCTGCCAGTCTCTCTGTAATCTGTGTACAGCCCTGGAAGGATTCTGCAGGAGCCTGTCGAAACTAAAATTCTTAATAAAACCCCCGCAAGGTTCCTCCCCCTTCCTGCTGCAATACCTTTGCATTCTTGCTGACAGTGGGAGGCTTTGTGTTTTCCGTTCTTCTTCGTGGGTGGAGATGGTGTGGGTCTCTCCCGTTTTCTTCTCCTTGGTGAATGAGAGAAATTTGCAAAAAGGAAGGGGAAAATTTTCAACCTATTCTTCAGGCAGGCATAACACGAAGAGTGTTCTTTCAATCTTGTGCTTAGGGCCCAGTGTTGACATCGTGTTCTGTGCTCCAAAACAACCCTCAAGAGTAATTCAGTTGTGGGATCTGGGTGATGCTGTAGGAGTTCTGATATGTCATACTCAGGCACGGGCCAAAGTTTTTGTCCTTAAGAGTAGAAAGAGAGAGCTTGGAGATTTTACTAAAATTTATTTCAACAGACTTTGAATCAAGCCTTTGCAGGGAGTACATTGATAGTGCTTATATGCAACGTTACCAGATAAGTAATCCGAGAATATTATTGTAATTAAACATGAGTGTCATTTGTAAGTCTTTTAAATTACATTTAAAATTTTTGTCTGTCCGGTTTAAAGGGTTTCTGTGCTTTACTTTGCAGTTAACAAGCATGGATGGAGTCCGTTTTGAAAAGCAAGGTCTAGTCCACAAACTAGTTATTGACAAAGTGGAAGATATTCATGCTGGGAAATACAGGTTTGAAGGTGGAGATATAAAAACTGAAGCTTCTATTTTTATTGAAGGTGAGTCTGTTCAAACTACCAATGCAACGCTCTAGCCCTGATGTGCTGTGAAGACAAAACGTTTTCTGAGATGCCTACAGATGGTTATTGAGTCAACTTTATTATAGAGAACTACCATGTGAACGGGAGATGAATAGTCCTTGTACAGCTTGGTGCATTTTGGATTTACAAATTTAACTAGGGAGCCTTCCTGAACAGCTTCTATTATTAAGATTTTGGGGTGAATGTAACACTTTATCAGACCACAATCTTCATTCTTATGTTTTGCGTGAGGAATTTGCTCCAGTGAAAAGGACACTATGATACCACAAACAGTGTGTGATAATAATCCTGTAGCAAAGTACCCGTGGGTATGTGAAGCATGAGCATGCAACTAAAGGTGAAAATCCAAATGCTGTGAGCTGCTAAGCGTTGCTGAGGGAAGCCTTTCCCTCCAAGGTGAGCCTTATCCTCTTCAAATTGCAGTTTTTAATGACCTTGTATCACCTGCTTAGATCCTCCACAGGTCGACAGAGTTCTCCTCAAAAACTTAACGAGTGTTCCTACTGTGGCCAAGGCAGGGCAGAAGGTAAACATCAAGATCCCTTTTGAGGGCCGGCTGCCCATCAGAGCGACGTGGCTGAAGGATAGGATGGAGGTAGCAGATGACACAAGGGTTCGTGTTGATAAAACAGAGACCTTTACCATGCTGACCATCTCCAGCAGCGAGAGGAAGGACTGTGGGGATTACAAAGTCAGGCTGGGGAATGACAGTGGCGTCCTGGAGATCAACATAAAGCTTGTGGTTCTAGGTAAGAGCCCCATGACACCCTCTGTGTCTTTCATTGTAAAGCTTAGGCTGGGAACCCATTAACACTGGTGACAATCCTGTTTAGAGCTACTGGGTATTCCAAGAAGAACAAGATTATGTAATTTTCCATGAAATCAGGGTACAGGCAAAGATGGCTGACATATTTCTTGCCCTTTATTCCAAGGTGGAACAAATCTGATTTTGCAATGGCCTCAACAGCTGAGGTTTGAGTGTTGGGTGACTGTGGGAGATGGGACAATGCACAACAGACAAATCTGAAAGAGGTGATCAGGGCCAAATTCAGCCCTCCCATAAATGTCTGTGCTTTTTTGGAAGACCAGAAATGGCGTTCTTCCTCGTAAGCAAGCCAAATTGGTGCAGTGCTTTTGAGAACAATCAGCCCGTGAAGCAAGGGCCTGGCTTCACCACCCCTTACAAAAGTTAGAAGAGTTGGAAGTTTGAGAGAGACACTTCAAGCGCCCAACTCTTGTTCTGCAGCTATGCAAGTATTTAATCAGAAACTCAGTGCCCTGACTGGTGAGCAGGAGACAGCACCTGCTTCAAGCCAGGAGCACAGTTGGGGCTGGAGCCAACTCATGGTGTTTGTCTTTTCAGACAAGCCACAGCCACCTGCAGGGCCCATCAAAATTGTGGAAAGCTCTGCAGACAACATCACCATCGAGTGGAAGCCCCCAAAGGATGATGGGGGCAAACCAGTGCAAAACTACGTTGTCGAGAGGCTGCAGGTAGGCAAGAGCGACTGGGTGCCTTTGGGAGAAACCCCCAGGAGCTGCACTACCTTCACCACTAACAAAGTGGAACAAGACGCAAGCTACTACTTCAGGGTGAGAGCTGTGAATGCTGAGGGAGCTAGTGATGCGCTGGAATCGGAGGAAGTGAAGGCTGTCGGTAAAGGTAAGGGGGAACTTTTCATAATTGTGTGTGACAGCCATCTGGGAAATACATTAGCAAAGCTGACATCAAAGAGACCTCACTGCACTTCAGATGTTGCTGCAGATCTGAACTTGAATCACGGCTGTGAAGTCTTGACATAAGTCTCTGGAGACTGACTGCACGTCAAGGCTAGGCGCTTTCTGTAGGCTTGGGTGATGCTGAGTGAGATGGTGTTATGCTCTCAGTTATGCTCCTTTCTGAACTGGAAAGCAAGTTTTATGGGATAAATGCAGTATGCATCAAGATCAGAGGAAGTTTTTCCCGGGGTGACTACAAAGGGAACACGTGAGGCTTTTTCTTTAACTACCTGGGCAAAGGAATGTCTCTATGTGCAGCAGTTTTCAGCATCACCACTTCATTCCTCTGATTTCCAAACAAGTAATTCGACTGTATTACGGGAAACTGGAACAAGAAATGGCACAAAGCTCTTTCTTGTCTTGCAATTAAAAATACACCTGCTAATAATGAAACACTAATCTCTTTCTAGCTTCACCTGGTGCCCCAGATCCCCCTGAGATTGTCAGTGCCAGCAGAGACACCATCACAATATCCTGGAAAGCACCCCGTAAAGCTGGCACTTCCCGAATAGCGGGATATATCGTTCAAAAACGCAAGAAGGGCACTGTGACCTGGCTGCCAGTCAACAGCGTGCCCGTAGCAGGTAGGTAGCTTAAGTCCTGGAACAGACTGGAAGATCTGAATGAGGCAAAAAGGTCATCTGGGTTCAGGAGCTGCTTGGGGTCTTATACTTTTTCACACCAGTGTTTATCCCCTTAAATTCTTCAGCTGCTGATTGTCCCCATTGCAACCACATTACCCCTGTCTGAAGTTTCATCTTATCTTTCAGAGCTCTAGTGTATATGTTTTCTCACAACTACGTTTTTCTCACGACTAAGATTTCACAGCCATGCCATAGCAAAGCCAGATCTTGAGTTTATTTACAGCTGAATGCCTGGAAGGGGGATTATGTTCTTTTCTAGAGTATGTGCAAGCACGTGGCTGAGGAAGAGCACGGAGAAGCTCACTGCTGCGTCCTGGGGTGTAGGTCCTCTCTAGATAAACTGATATCTTCAATTTCTGGAGCTGAAGTTTTCACTTCACATGCACAACTACTGTCCTTAGTCCGCCAAAGAATCCCAAGTGGTGTGTCTGAGCTCCAAAATGGGTTTTGACTGTACAATTATCTATCAGGTGCAACAGAGGACTTCTGCTTTTTCTGTTGTAGAAGCATATAGGATTATCTGATGATGCACAGCAGTATTTATCCTTTCTCTGGCTTAGTAGCTCTCAAGTGCTGTTTGATTTGAAAGGGAACACAGTGAGCACGTCCCAGAATTACACATGCCCTTGGATAGGGAAGGGCAGGGCAACTGGCCACAGCATTTATACTTGGCTCCTGAGAATTCCTCAGCCCACAATTCTACAGCATTATTGTCGCACCCTTTCCTGCTCGGGGAACAGCTCACCTGAGTCAACACACTCCTTTTCTTTCTGCAGACAAGAAGCTGAAAATTACCAATCTCAAGAAGGGGCTGCAGTACGAATTTCGTGTGGCAGCTGTCAATGCTGCTGGCGTAGGAGATCCCAGCGAACCGTCACAGCCCGTCCTGGCGCAGGATCCTGCCAGTAAAGGGACTGTCCCCGCTCCTGCTGGCTTGCGGATGCATAAAGCTGAATGTAGACTGGTGATGCCAGCAGAGAGGCAATGTTTTTAAATACTTCATTAAAATATGTGAAGACAAAGATGAAATCATTGGGAAGTGTCATGGCTGAGAATCCTCTCTCGGCACGAGGAAGCAGTGGAAGGATTTCCTGTGTGGTGTCTAAATCCCGATGTGGTGTAATCCCTGTGCGGGAGTTGTGTGAGGTGTGGAGAAGTACTCGGGGTGGGTTGCAGACTGCTTCGGGGTGTTGCAGGTTGTACTGCATGGCTGGCAGGAGCAGGCACCTGGATCCAGCTTTGAAGAACCAGGACAAGGTGGAGGCAGGACAACAAGGAGGATGCCCACTGAACTTCAGGAGTGTTGGAGATCTCAGGAAGCGATTGAAAAGGAGGGGGACAGGGATCCTACAGAAATAGTTTAAATAAAATTTCCCTTTTCAGAATCTCCAGGTGGAGTGCAGGACCTTAAAGTGAGCAGCAGCGACAGCACTAGTGTCACCTTGACGTGGAAGAGACCTGAAGTAAAAGATGGGAGTGATGTGAAAGGCTACGAGGTGGAGATGCGGTCTCCTAACAGCCTCAACTGGACCAAATGCAATGCTCTTCCCATAGAGATGACCACTTACACAGTTAAAGGCCTCCAAGGCAAGGGGACGTACTTCCTACGTGTGAGAGCCCTCTATGACAGTGGCCCAGGAGAAGCTGTGGAGCTTGAAGCTCGCATCGACGCTGCTTCCCCTGTAGGTAAGTCAAAGCAGGCTTCTCTTGTCAAGTTGGAGGCCTGTGGCCAGTGTTCCCCAGGGATCAGTGCTGGGGCCAGTT